ATCGCCATTTTGCTTGAACTTTCTTACGGTATCCAGCAAAAGGTGGTGCCGGTGTTAACCCTGACTGGCGGATTTGAGAAAGCCATCTATAAGCAGTTCAGGCTGCTTATGGTAACACGGATTACTCCGATTCTACTGTATTCCACAGTCGCTGATAAACCATCCCTTCTAGATCAGGAAAATACCAGACACCCAGCACCCAGGCACCTGCGGTGCGTGCGGAGTAGCTCTTAACTTATCATTCGAACATTCAAATGGGGAACCCAAGACTGTTTGCATGATTGATTCCGCGCACCTACGAGAGTCACCTATAATATTTGATATCATTGGTGTGAGCCTTCGCATGCCGTATATCTGCCTTAGGGACCGGTGCCGGATAATGGTCAGACAAATGCTCGCCCGTTTTTTCATCTACTACTGCGAAGCCTGCCCAAAACAATTAAGCGTCTCCGAGGTCGGCAAGAGGTCAAATGGTTGCGATGTTACCGTGGAATATAATCGCTGCGGTGACTGTATTGATCGGACTACGGTGTCCGACGAACAGAGTACACAGGAACCAGATTCTGCGAGGTCAGGGATCCTAATATCTCAATCGACGTATGACTGGATTACCTACTGGGCTCTGTCAGATCTTATGAGCCTATTCATGAGCAAGCTTGGATGTGCGCCTGTCTATGTCAAGCTTACAGACGTGGCATCGGGCCGCTCATCGAGCTTTACATGTGGGGACATACAAGAACCAGTGCTCACGCAATAGCAACTGCTCCAGTCTGAATAGCCTGCACTTCTAGATGAGCACCGCGGGCCCAAACGAAATTCAGCTAAAGACGATCGATTCATTACAAAGCGGCGAGGGCCCTGTTTTGATCCTTCGATGCGACCGCGACGGATGGTCTAGGGTTCCATAAAGATCCAAGATGCATCACATCGTCAGGGTTTTCGAATGGAACAAGACAACACAGAAATAGCACGTCCGATACATTGACAAGAGGACCAGTACGGAAAAGGCAACTCAGCCGCTGTCTTGACAATATCTTGAAAGGTCTCCTGATCGAAGCCCTAGAAATGGCAGTAAAGAAACCGTCGGTACCTAATCACTACAAACTTCTTCCTCAAGAGAAAGTGTCTCCCTCCCCACTTTCCCAATACTGCTTGCATCATCGTTCGGTGTTGCCTAACCTATCACGATCATGCCCGTTTCAAATATGAGTTGGAAGGGGAAGCTCACTGCTGAGACATACATATTGTACTAAGAAGATATGGCTCACCTCAAACCCGGAGGACAATATATACCCCGTTTGTGTTAAACCCGAAGATAGCTGAGACCTAGGCCAGCAAGAGAACACCGCTGCCAGGCAGCAGACTTCAAAGGCAAAGGCGAATCTGGCGCAATAGCAAGAACATGTCTCATAGGCTTTACTAAACCAAGCATATTTCAGATGTCCTGCCCAATCGTGGCTGATCTGTCACTATATCTTTTGGCAGTCCAGTCATATCTGAGCCTGTCGTACACAGAGAACACAGGGAATCTCTTGGCCCAAGTGGTCTAAGTTACTCTGTCCAAACCCCTGTCTTGCCTCAATACATGCACAGGATTACACCTGTGCGTGCGGGGTCATACTGCAACATTCAAGTATTGAGTAAGCAGTTCAATCCTGCCTGATCTTCTGGGAAAACTTTCACAGCTCAGGTCGCTGTTGGAGTTGCGGGCATAGAGCCAACCTGATATGTACATGAAGTCCGGGTGGACGGATCCAGTTACTTGATCCAGAGCATCACCAAGAAGGACCCGCTGAAACATCTAGAGGGTGAAAAACATTTTGTTGTCACAACACTCAAATCCCTCACTTCTGAGGATCTACATATTGATCGTTCGCCCGAAGTGGGACCCAGGAACTTGCACCGAGTTAGAGTTCCTGGTGATAAAGATGAACAAAAAGTTCCACAACATCACATAATTGTCTGAAATAAAACTGGCTTGCGAGGGAGACATCATACTTTGAATGAAAGAGTACGCAGCTCTACATTCTACTACTTATAAATCAGCGAATGTCTCAAGACTATCCACAAACAGCGTCCTAGAGCTCATTAATGTGGACTTTCGGGTAATACCGACATTGTTACAGATCTTACGCTGGAAACCACGGATGTGTCTTTATTGGATAATCACCATTTTCTTCTTCTATATCACTAGGAATTACAGAGCCTGTGCTATAGTGCTGATACTGCTGATTATAATACTGCTCCTGGTGCTACCGAGTGCCAGGACCTTTCCTCATGACTCACACTGGGCAGGGTCATCAGGTTTCCATGGTGAATTTTGATTATCAAGAACATTGAGATACGCGCAGTGTGCCAGTATCAAATGAGTAGGGAATAAATCATAAACTAAGGGTAGATGTGTTCTATTATTGGCATTTGGGGTTCTGTGTCGAATTCTCGTTGTTATGCTCGGAAAAAAGAATACTTTAAATAGGGAATGAAATGCAAGTAATGGGAGCTGCTATTTGCGGGATCCAATTGCAAACAAAGTGGGAGAGGTATCCTCAGAGTTTTATATGAGTCAAAAACAATGTCACTATTTCTGGTAGCTGCCTGGTATATCGTAGGCTTCTTGTCGGTCTCCAGTCTAGTTTGTAAAGCTACAAGATGCTAGGACCCCTAATGCCTGAGGTAAGTCTTGTTGCTTCAACACTGCGTACTATCGTTATGGAAAACTTGGGTATCAATAGCATGCTATTAACTGACCCATTGGTTATTATACATATACTTTCCTTCTTGATATATAGAACACATAAATACCACAGGCTTCCTACTCGTTATCAGTCTCCATAACTCCACCCAAGCTGCAAGTATTGAAAGTACGATTCCACCTTTTGCTCCTAAGCAGTATTGCGAATCTTCTCATATTCGGGCAATGCCCATTTCACCATCCATTCCGACTCGAGGACCTGTTGAGCAGAAGGGCGATCTTCCGGCCTGAAGCGAAGCATAGAGCGTAACATCGAGATGAAAGCATCACGTTCTCTTGATTCAAAAGGCGGCATTCCTTCCCGTACTCGCGACTGCTGCATGTGTTTTTCAAATCGATCCTCCCATGCCTGAGTCGAAGATGCGGGAGGGTGGTGAGTCGACTTACTACCCTTGTCTCGAATTTCTGTCCATTTAGTGAGCCACTCGGAGGGCAGCGGGCCAAGTAATCCGACTTGTTGGCTAGTCATATCGTCATCATTCGTAAGGAGACCTTCAAATAGTGTTCGTTGTCCCATAATATCCCAGATGGTACAGGCAAGTGTCCAGATATCAGACGAAAAGGTCAGAGGCCGGGTTGGCTCAAATCGGGCCTCAGGGGGACGGACCAGCAGAGGTGTATGAGACCTGAATTTCCGTTCGTGCGTCGGACAGAATGCCTCGCCAAAGTCTGAAAGACATATCTTGGCTTCTGGAAGCGCCACATCCTCACTTGCGGCTCCGAGCCATATAGGTACTACACCATGTTGTGGCACCTCTGGCGGAATTCCTTGACCATCTAGTCGATTGACTGGCTCGAGTACCGGTTCTCCATACATTCCATACAGCATTTCAGTCGACAGCTCATCAAAGTCACGGGAAAGCCGAAGTAAGATATTCCCACGATGAAGGTCCCCATGGACAATTCCTTGGGAGTGGATGTACTGAACAGCAATTATGAGCTGGGCTACTATCGCTCGGGATGCCCCAAGCTGAAAGAGACTGATCCATGACCCATTCTTTGCGTCTGACAGGCTCATTCGTGCCGGCCTGGTGACCAAGCAGGTGTGGTTGCCATTGGGGCCTTGTATGTTGAATATGTCTGAGATAGTAGGGATCAAATCTCGGTCTATGTGTGTCGATTGTTGGGGTTGCGACAGCCTGGACAGCACGCTGTTTTCGAGGGGATTCGAATCCGCCGTACAGATTTTCACTGCAACATATCTATTGGAAACTTCATCGTGGGCCAGCCAAATGGTCGAATATGTACCATGACCGAGTTTATGAACTACCCGATAGCGATTGTGGAAACAGTTCCCAATTGTAACTGGATGATAGCCCCCAGCTTCATAATATTCCATTCTTTCCACATCTTCGATGGGTTCGTAAAGGACACGCGTGGTTTTCTTGACGGGTACTGTTTCTCTGTAGCTAGTTAGAGAGAATACTCGATAATTCGACGGGGAAGAAATGGCTGGCTGGCTCTGAGAGGTAGGCCACAACAGGGGAAGGGGACGGTTAAGCGCAGGGACTGTCGGAGTAGAAGGCATAGTTTTCCCATGTTGCTACTGCAGTGTAAGCTTCCCGAAACTGAGTCCACCTGTAGAATATGGAACAATTTTACAGAATAACATGATTATGCATCAGTCAGATGCGAGTAAGAGGATGGATTGTGGGGAAATAGCGACAGTAAACATGCAGCCAAACACACAGCGGTAGGAGAAGAAACGGTGGAGCAGCAACAGCAACACAGCATAGATCGATAAGGCACCCAAGCATTTGCGATCTGCGCCCTGATCCACCATCACATTCCAACGTTCAATGACAATAGAGCGGACAATAACTCAACGTATCAATCAATCAAATTAAGAAAAAATTCAATTTATTGTTCAGGTACAAAGTCAGTACCCAGTGTCTTACATCCTCCACGCTGATTCGCGAATCCCAGCATCGAGCCTTGCTGTCGATCGCATCCCATCTCATCATCCCAGCCACCGATTAATCCCCAAAACCCACTGTCAATGCGCTCCGCCCCATCACTTCGTCTTTTCCATCTTCTTCCTCTTTTCATCTCCATTCCCTGCCTCTTAGCATTTCCTTCCTCCTTGTGAGGTCATTATCCCACTACATCCATGTCTACACCACCACCACCCTCCCCCCGATGAACCATATCCATCTACTACAACTACTACTACAACTCGATCTACCCGCCTGTTGATCCCCGCCTCCACTTTAATCTTCATCTCCACCTCCACCATCAACAAACAACAATGACTCCAATCCCGATCCCACGAATACCACGACCACCACCAAACCTCAACCTCCACATCTCACTCCCCTTCACACAAAAATTCCAATCATCCTCTATATCTCTCCGAAACATCATCCCCTCCGCCCTCAAACGCTCCTCCGCCGCCTTCATCCCCGGAACCTACAACAGCCACGGCCTCTCCCCCGGCGCCGTCGCCGGCGTCATCATCGGCAGCGTCCTAGGCTTCATCTTCCTCCTATACTTAATATTCCTGGCGTTGGGTGCCGGGCGGCGCTTCTCCAGCGAACCCAGCACGGCGACGTCGGCAACAATGTCAGAGGTGGTGGTGGAGGAAGAGGGAAGCTCGATTTCGCGACGACCACCGCGACGTCGGCGGCGCGAGGTTGTCGAGGAGGTCATTGAGAGCGGGGGCAGTCGGCGGAGTCGCAGGTCAAGAGCAAGTCGGGGGAGAGATTCGCGTATTGTTGTGGAGGAGTCGGTGACCTCGTCTGGTCCGTCGAATGTGGTTGAGGTCGAGGAGGAACATTCCAGTGTGGAGGGTTCCGGGGGCCATGGGCGGAGGAGACGCAGTCGGCCGGGACACTATCGGGCTGTGGATCCGTTGGCGTATGGGGGGTTGACGGAGGATGAGAGTTTGAGGTCGTAGTTGCGGACCCTGTGTAGGGGGTGTGTTGAGGGATAGCTATTGTGATTTGTTATATAACGCTGTCGACGTGATTTGGTCCTGTCCTTTCGACGATGATTTGATACCCTGCCCTGTGATGTTCTTATGATTATGTTAGAATTGCGAGTCAGTTTTGCACGCAAAAATGCCCATGCACACGGAACTAGAAATGAATAATGTTAATTACTACCGATATAGAAATGATTGGATTCAACGAAAGTAAACCGACTCGAGTAGTCATCCATAGACCATGCGCCGTTAAGCGCCGACGCCAGTCAAACCTAACCTGACCTGACTGACCCGACTGAAAATCAACCAAATATACAGAAACACTGACAAAACCCCGCGCGCGAACCGTGCTCCGTGAATCCTTGCGCCCAACCAAAGAATGGCAATACAGTATCAGTAGTAGGCAATCGCATCCAATCTAGACGAGAAGAAAACGCAGACACCAAATCCAAACAGCAGTTCAAAATCACTGAAGACAGCACTCCTCTCATCCTAGAACAGGATATCCAAGCAGCAACAGCAAGCCAATGCAGCCATTATACCCGCGCAGATACCACCTCCCGAGGATCCGCCCCGGTCTTGTCCGGCATAGTAACCTTGTTGCTGCTGCGGCGGAGGATAGTACATCGGCTGGCCTTGAGGCGGAGGAGAACCGTAGTATCCCTGCTGCGGCGGGGGGCCATAGCCCTGGGGCGGATATCCCTGGTTGTAGCCTTGTTGAGGGTAACCGCCCTGCTGGTAGTAGTCTTGCGATGCGCCTTGGTGGTAGGGACCGGCGTCGTGGGTCGGAGGAGGGTAGGACGGAGGAGGCTGGTCCTGTTGTTCAATATCGGTCAGTGGTGTAGTGAGACGTGGCGAGAAGGTTGACTCAACATACAGGTTTGTTGTAAGACATCTTTAATAAGGAGACAGTCGCAAGTCTTTCAGACGCGATGATCAGTGATTATGCGGTCTTTTGTTGCGGTAAGGAATGCCTGACGGCGCAGTTGAGGCTTCTGATAGGAATGAGAGTCTTTTCTATAGTGCGGAATGTGCGGAGAGGTAAAAGAGGGGAGGGTGATGGATGTGAGGAGAAAAAGTCGGGAAAAGAGACGAGAAGAAGCGCCGAGCGAAACCAACGATGGATGGCAGCTTGGCGAGTGGTCCGGATTAGGCAACCGGCTATGTCGGTCTACGCGGGCGGAATTGGGTATGTTGGGGAGGACAAAGATGTCGTGCAGATGCCAACTACTTGGCTTATGTGTCTACAGTCTCGTGGTGCCAGACGAAACACACAAACATTGGAGTGTCTCTGTCACACAGCGTCTTGTTTCATCCGAGCTGCTGATGAAGCGTAGGCTGCCCTGAACGTGACTTCGCTACCGAATCGGTGGTTGGGGAAAGAGGGGAAAACATGACGAATATCTTATCTTGGCGTGGTGGCTGACAATGGTTGCCATTTTTAGTATTTCCTTGTGACAGATTGCTCGATATAATGGCAATACAAGTTCGAGCTTACAACGAGAACCCCCGATGGTCTAGTTGGTTATGGCGTTCGGCTGTAATGGTAATTATTGTAACCGAAAAATCACCAGTTCGATTCTGGTTCGGGGGATCATCTTTTTTGGTTTTCTTTTTTCCTCTTTCTTGGAGAGACCTACGACTCAAGTAATAATGCACACCAACTCTCTTTTTTTATTTCCACACTCGGGTGGTACCTGATACGATTTAATCTTGTAGTTAGGTGGACTTAAAACGATAGTAGTATGTGTACGCTAGTATTAGTGATGTTACCTTAACCACGGCACTAGTAGTATATATATTGAACGGTCAGTGGAAATTCCAAACAGTGAAACAGCTTGCATAGTAAATTAATACTTGCGAGATAGAATGATTGGGACCAAGAGTCAAGTACATTGATCGATATATCTGTTCTATAAGCTCCTCAACTCGGCATATGATAATCATATCCATTCTTTCTAGCGTGTGCCCATGTACCTCCTGCATGTTTAGCGCCATTGATCCCACATTGAGAGCCACTCAGCAGTCACCACACTAACCCGAGGCTGAGCAGCATGTTTGGTTCCTATCGCATCTAAATTAGGCAACGAACGCCTGTCAACCTTCCTCTTTTCAGCCTCGCGAGCCGAACACATCCAGTCCAGCACTCTATCACTGATCGGTTTCTATTGCGATTGCACTACAAGAATCCTTCAAGACCTCACAGCGTCCCAGAATGCCACTGTGCAAGTCTGGGTGTCTTTCGACATTGCTTGGGGGTTTTAGGAAAGACAGACATGCAGAGGAGGGAAGGCACGAGGCAGACGACCAAAAGGTCCAGGAAAATGACGAGAGCACCCCGGCAAAAGGATCTCCCAGCAGTGACGCTGCTGGCAACGTTAGTCAAATCACAGAGGTTCGACAAGGTGATCAATCACCGGATATCGGTAACACTGCTGCACACCACCGACAACAACCAACCAACCAGGCGGTTTCTATCCACAAAGCTCTCTGGGATAAGGCCTATAGTAACCTCAAGAATGACCTGGAAAAGGCAGAATACGTCTTAAGGTATGAGGAACTGCTTGCGAAGGTATTTTTGAACCAATCCACGACCGAGAAAGCAGTCGGAACGAACGAGTCTTCTCAACACCTCGGAGAAGAACAAATGAAAAAAGTGGTTGAAGAAGGCCTTTCGAGAATTGAGAAATACAAGAAAGCTATTGAGCATTCGGAGAGCACTATCAATGTAATCAAGCAGGTCAAATCCATTCTTGACATCCCTCTGAAGAATGTCTCTCAGACTGCACTGCCGTGGGCCGTGATTTCATCGAGTGTTGATGTAAGTTGTATTAACCTTCTATCAATCATCCAATACAGGCACTGATGAGCCACCAATGCCACTAGATACTGCTCAAGCCAGTCAGCGCTGGAGCAGCTCTCTACAACGGCGTAGCTTATGCGGTTTCTAGGATCGAGTGGTACTCGAAATTGACCAATAAACTTCTATGTGAGGACAGCATAAAAGATGATCAGTCGCTACACGGAATACGAGAGGACATAGCTGGGCGAATCACGTCGTTGTATGAGTCACTGCTGTTCTATCAAATCAAGAGCGTCTGTTTCTAGTAAAAAAGGTATCAGCTCCTAGTGTGGGCTCGCGGATTGCTGGACCTGGACGATTGGAGTGGCAGTCTAAAACACATTCAAGATGATTCATTGTTTGTTGGTCAAGCGGTTAGTAGTGAATCTCACAGACAGAAGGCAAAGTTATAAGAGAGTGGGTCTGTGAGATTCACTACTAACCGCTTGACCAACACCTGGCCAAACACCACCTTGCGTGAAAATCTATATATTGAATCTACCGATTCGACACAAACAATGAATAATCAACGCTCTGGGCTTCGCCCCCCCAGGCTGTGCCTGGGGCCCCCCCCTTTTTCCTCAAGATAAAGATACTCTCCTATAGGAATTTCATAAACAACAGAATTTTGTTCAATGTAAGACCGAACATGCTCTCCCCAATCGCGAATATCTTCATTGTAGGTGCACGTGATAATCGACGGAACGTTCCACTTAAGCCGCCGCGTAGCTTTATACCTCCCATGTGCCGTCAAAAACGGCTGACATCCAATAACTGCTTTCCAATAAGGAAAGTCTTTTTTTAAATCATGGAAAACCGAACATACTATACCATCACGATACGCCGCGAGATCCCATTCCGTATCGAACGACGAGAAGACACCATGCTGCGAGGCGATATACTCCGCAAGACAGCTCTTGCCCGTACGGCTGTTCCCAACGATAATCAAAGACTGACGACGCCCAGGCTTCGGGTGGATAAGATTGTCAAATTCCCATTGACAGATTTCCAAAGGCACCCTAAAATTCGACGGGTTGATGTAGCTTGGCAACTCAAACCGTTCATAAACCTCCTCATTCTGATGCTCGAACTCAACAGCCCCCTTGATATTGTTGAAAGAGCAGTAGAACTTATCCGGAAGAAGTTCCTTACACTTCGCCAACTTCGAAGCCGCATTCCGCTCTCGACCAATTTCCTCCCACTTCCGCTTCCGCTCGGCTGCTATATCCGCAGACATCTTCGGCCGCTCCCCAAAAAGATCTCCACCCTCGATCTTCTCGCAATACTTAACATGGTTGACAACAAAATCTTGATAATTCTGCCCGCGACGTCGCGTCACGATGTTGAGGGAATCACACATGTTTCCCGGCACAGTAAGACACTTACGAGCAGTCGAAAAGCTCCAGTTCACCTGTTCGCCAAAATTAAGTAATACATGATAGTGTATTCCATTCACGCGGTGCGGTTCACGACACCCGTAATACGTAGCTTTGGAGAGCTTATTCCTCTCCAACATTTCGTTAAACATCGCTGCGAACTCATCCTTGTTCTCTAAAGAACACTGAGCATATGTCAAAAACACCGTCCGACAATGGATCGCTGCTTCCGCCTTGCTGGACGCTATAGAGGTACGAGAACTGACTACCGACGCAGTGTCCGACACATCAGACACTGAACTTAAGGACGACAAACGAAGACGTGAGAGAGACATTGTTGTAGATCGCAACAACAAAGGAGGGCGCATCGCCCTTTTATCATAGCTGCCCAATCTACCCCGCTTCCCGAATAGGAAGGTAATCCTCGTCTCAGCAAAAATACGCTGAGACTGGCAAGAATCTCCTTTTTGGGATTCTGCTCCTGGCTACCGCCCGTACTTACCGTACGATTACCCCCTCTTCTCCCCCTAAGGGGGATGCCCGCCTATCGCGGGGGGCCCCTCCATCCTTTCGGTGGATCCTCCCGGTTCTGTAATTACCCCTAAAGGGGTAATTCTGTGAGTCTCAAGTCTCACAGACAGAAGGTAAAGTTATTACATGTGGGTCTGTGAGACTGGCACTTATGCCTCAGGCACAACTCCTCCTGCCACCGTCAGTAACTGCCTCAACACCTGAGGCATTATCACCTTGGGTCATACCAAACACCGGTCCTCGCTCCGCTGCGGATCACGGGCAAAGCCTGGGCCCCCCCCACTCTTCAATATCCGCTACCCGGCACATATATATGAGGCAGAAGATGCACTTGCCAGGGATTGCGCGCTTTTTGACATGGAATACATGAAGGGTCAAATGAGAGCGATGATCATGGACATCGAGACAGCTGAAGACTCCCAGGAGTTTCAGAAGCGTCTGCAGGCTATACGCCGCGTGGATCCGCAGGCTACCGTAAAAACCATCGAAAACTTAGAAGAGAGAGTCATGGATGACCTATATACTTGGATGTTTTGATACTGAGCAATTCAAGGGCTTTATGTGTTGGGAAGAGGACCGGCCTAGACGACTTTGGATCAGTGGGCAGGCTGGAACTGGAAAGACAATCCTTTCAATAGGCACTATAAAAGAACTGCAAACACAGTGCCTCAGGGAGCCAGAGCCCCCCACGATTCTATACTTCTTCTGCCAACACACCGACGCAGATTTGAACAACGGGGTTGCAGTACTTCAAAGCCTGGTGTGGATGCTTCTCCGGCAACAGCCCCACCTAAGCTCACACCTTGACGAGCAATTCTCTCATTCAGGACAAGAATCATCAGTGATTGCAATTAATTCGCTACGTGGTGTGATATTTGACAAGTATGCTGATAGATTCAGCTCGTGTCATTATTGCCGTCGACGCTCTTGATGAATGTGAAGAGGGTTCGCGCAGGCAACTATTGCGATTTATGAACGGTATTATTACCAAGGAAAGAATGTCCCATTTCAAATGGTTTATTACCAGTCGGCCTCTATTGGAAATTCCAGACAGCCGACCTGAGTCAACACTACAATACCATAGACTTCTGATGTTGGATGATCAGAACCTCATTCCCTGGATAGACGCTTATATCGATCGAAAGGTCCAGGTGCTTCGAGACAAAGCTCAGAACCAAGAGCGTGTTCATAGGATAAAAGATTAGTTACATTATCGAGCCAGCAACACGTATATATGGGTTTCTTTGGTGTTCGAGGAGATAGAGAATGCACCCGAGGCCCGGTGGCAGAAAATCATTGAAGATACCCCACGTCAGCTGAATGAGTTATACACTTATCTGCTCAGGCAACTGCCCTGGTCAGAATGTAAAACCGTTCTGTGTGTTGCAATGGTGGCACGCCGGCCTTTGAGTTTATAGGAAATTGAGCAACTTGCGGGAATGGAAACAGGTGTCAATGCAGGAAGGGACTATGTAATTGGGTGCAGGTCGTTCCTGAGTATTCGTGGCGAGACGGTAAATTTCATCCACCAATCTGCTCAGGACTGGCTACTCTTGAACCAGCACCAGCTTCGTGACGGGTCTCCGCAAGACCCTGGTGTACTTGAGAAGTGCATCCATCGTGAAATCCTCAAAGACTCAATGAAAGGAATGAGATAGACGTTGAGTGAGAACATATATCAGCTTCCTCACTATTGCATTGCTTTAGAAGAGATTGAAACACCCTCACAAGATCCACTTGCACCGATTCGCTACGCTTGTCAATACTGGGTGTACCATCTCAAGGAAGGTGAGCGTAAGACAGAGATTGACCTGCTTGGCTTTTTACGTCAGCGCTTTCTTCACTGGCTGGAGGCGCTGGCCTTGATGAGAATCATGCCCGAAACAGTGGGAATCATTGACATGTTAAGTTCCACGCCCGCAGTATGTAAAGGCTGATAATCTTTGATTTTTGTTTATACTATGTCCCTGACACATCAAGCTTAGATGACGTCAAACCCTGAAGTACGCGAATTTTTGCTGGATGCAAAGCGATTTGTCTGGAGGCACCAACAATTAATTATGACCGCACCACTCCAAGTCTACGTATCTGCGCTTATATCTACACCAAAGGCCAGCTTAGTGCGAGAAACAGGAAGTATCCCGAAATGGATCGACCAGGGACCAAGGTTGGAAGAGGATTGGGGGCCTCTTTTACAAACCTTCACATTTTCTATGTGTGCCCTTGAAACGTGTTCTGTCTCCTGTCACCTGACGATCAATTAATTGCAGGTTTCCCAAATGGAGAATTCAGGATTTGGGATGCGAGAACAGGAAGAATGGTCAGGAAGATTGACGTTGAGGAGGATTTCAGGTCGGAGCATGATTATAAGGTGGAGAAAGATGTGCCTTGCGTCACCTTCACCCCAGACGGTCAATTGTTGCTCGCACTAACACTGTATAAAATGTATATGTGGGATACAGCTACATGGGAAATCTCGCATATAGTGGAATGCCCAAGTGCTACGAAGGGATTTGCGGTATCTCCCAATAGCCAGTTACTCGCGTGCTTTCAAAAGGACGAAAGAATAAATCTATGGCAGAGAAACGGCACCTTATGGACGCTGAAATGGACATACCAGAGCCCATACGCAAGTCCGGAACGTGAGCTACCGGCGGGTCTGTCGTTTTCATTTGATAACCGCTTACTCGCTTCTACTATAGATTTGAATAACATAGCGTTTTTGGACACCGAACTCGGCGAAGTACAGGAAGTGATCGATCGCTGGGGGGTGACTGCATTCAAGTTTTCTAGGGACGGCAAACTTCTGCTACAAACAAAAGAGACTGTCGAGATATGGCGGCAAAGAGACGAGTGGGAACTGGACCGCAAGATTGATTTACCAGGGTCGTTCGAAATACTTGCAGTTTCTCCCGATAATAGGCTTATTGCACTAGTGGAAGCTGATTCGACAATCCAAGTGGTAGAGACAGGGAAGGGTGTCCTGGTGCAAACTCTGGAGGGTCACACAGACAGTGATGGCAATTTAGCCTTCTCTTCGGACATCCAATTTCTTGTGTCCAGTGGAACCGATAATTATATCCATAAAACGATCAAAGTATGGAGAATTGTACCTGGAAAGCTCGACGAAGCCCCATTTGAACAAGGTAAATCGTTCGGAAAGGTGGTAAATCGTTCGGAAAGGTGGCACTTTCTACGGATGGCTCCCGACTCGTGACAGCAAAAATTAGGGGAGTGATCGAAACATGGAATGGAGAAACAGGAGAGTATCAAAGAACATTCAAGATACCTAGTTATTGTGGTCCTGGTTACGCCGTGACTGTTTCGCCAGACCACAAGCTGGTGGCATGGGCATCTTACGACGGGGACATCATGGTGTGGAACGCAGAGACGGGACAGACTGTTGCGACGCTACAGAAAAGACGGCCAATTCGGGAATCTTGTGCAGCATATGAGTTTCAGTTTTCTTCCAACAGTAAACTGTTGGGCTGGCTAGACGATAAGGGGACTGTCCGGATATGGAGCATACGACCATGCAGCCTTTTGAAATCGTATCGTTGGAGAGGAGCTGAGTATTCCACTTTTCGTCGAAAGGGACGGGAAAAATTGTCACTCATTCTCGAGTATCTAGAGAATGAGATTACCATGAGTAAGGAAGCTGAATATAGTCCAGAAGAGTGTCTCTCTCACAATGATGTCACGCATACTCCAAGAATAACCATCCAAGATGACTGGGTGGTCTTAGGAGAGCAGAGAAGCATCTTGTTGCCCCCGGAAAATTGGCCTCGGTTTAAAATATGCTGGGATGCTCGAAGCAATGTACTAGCTGTTGGACCTGAATCTGGCAGCAGGCCTTACTCCATTCGGTTCAATCCACACAATATGTCAGCTGGACAATTGCAACATGACGATGCTGAGAAAGATTCTGATGCCGGCTATTCAAGTGACTCGTCTCTTTGCTACATCAATGAAGAATATGAAAGCGATGGTCTTTCTTCTGACTCGGAAAGCTCGGCTGATGGTCAGTGATGAAGCTCAACTTGTTCTTCGCATATCCTGCTTAACTCCAGTCAGAATGATTGATCTTGAGCTAGATTCTAGGTTTGATGTGCGCGTACACCAATCATCCTTCAATTCTTTCTGAGCCCGATGATATTTCAATTTACATAAATAGAGAAAAGGATTGTTTGGCCACGCTTGTATTCCTTGCAACCAGTGATTTATGTCTAGCCTAGGCGTGTTACGCTTCCATTACAGTTAATTCACACTTCTCTGTACTCGCTTGCTGGTCATATAAACAGATTGACCATAAGTAACTATGCGCTTTCAGTAAGCTTCTTAGTACTATTTTGATTAAATGGCTAGTTACTCATTCCTGATCCTCTAATGTCACCTGAACTCACAAATAATATATGGTTAGTAGCCTATTCTATGACATGTTACGAATTAAATCTGTATTTATCTTTACGTATTTATGCTTTGCTGTGGCGCACTTCTGAATGCACTTGCATCTCTGCTTCAACTTGTACTGTTGCCCGGAAGCTAGCCAATAAGAAGAAACCCTCAAAAATAATTACAGCGAGAACCCAATGATCTTGATCAAATCACAGAGCCTTGAGAAAATGACAGAAATTTACTATTACTGGCCACAGGACTATCAGTAATACTGATATATTCCACAGACAATGGACCACCAATCAAGCAGCTTCCACCAACGATATTACTGGCGTAAGACCTAAAGGAGAAAAGTGACAAAATCGACCTGGTTAAGGCATATTGCATGTTAGGGTATGGAAAGCTGCTTGGAAGATATTCTATTTGCCTTTATCTATTTTCTCTTCTTACATTCAACCACACTTCCATCTATTTTTGCTTCTATGCACCTTCAGAAACTAGCGCAATTGCCTCCACCACATAATTCTTCCTTGTCCTTCTTTCTTCGGTTGACAAATTCTACATGCCGAATGGTGCTAAGGCTATTTCACGGACAGTGGGTCATCATCGCTCAGCCCAATCTGAAACTGCGCCGAAGCTAATATGGATCAAGCACGGAAGAGCTAGGCTAATCGCGAGCCGACGAGGGTCTGGAGTCTACTTTGCACGCTAACACAGCACCGCCACAGCAGCCTAATTGAAGGCATTCGTCATCTACAACGACACGTAAGTACGCCATTCTCTCCAATCGTGAGCTCAACTGAGGGAATGACTTTGCGAATAGGGGTTCACGATGCTGGACAGCCTACATTCGCGGGAAAAATCAGTCTATCTCAAATAGTTAGTCGCCTTTTTCCCACGTCGAAGCTCGGGAAATTGGTACACTATGAGGATTTAGACGTGATCTGATAGTCAAGACAAGGATCCTGTTCAGTGTGGTGCCTTTTTTCGTGCTGCAAATAGACAGTAATTACTCGAGACGAGCCATGGATATGTTCTGGCAACGGGTCTTGCCCGGGTCTGCCGGCTACGGAGCATACGTATGCCCCGGACAACCCTGATTCCAGAGGTCTATCAGACCCTTGGAATGTCCACCAGGTTGGGCAAGGGTCTGTATCAATGCATAATGGGACTCGACACAATTTTTCGGGCTCAGCACAAGTCCAGTTCCGGCACTTCTAGCCCGCCGAGCAACAGGAACATAAAAGGCATATCACCCGATTCCGAACAAAGTATACACACTCAAGACCGATACAATTCCAACCAATTATTCTCAATAAGCCATATCGCTCGTCCCGCTTCAGATATTTTTGCTATGGTACAAACCCCGCGCAGCCTTGCTGGCCAGCCGCTCATTCGTGGCTTACGCGCTAACTCATGGCCGCATTGCGTAAGCGCTCCACCGAGTATGTGTGGCATCGATATCAACATCTTTTCTACCGTTTGAACATGCATGAGCTGTTATGCTTAATGGCTGTATTATTTGACGGGGCCATTTGTGCACGAGTCAGAATTCGGAACCTGGTAGAAAGACGCAACCCACCCATCTTGGCCCGCAGATCCCATGCAGCTACAGCGCGTTCCCTCACCATATTAATTTCCCTTTGCTATTCTCGGCGAGCCCTACGCCTACCGGCCATAACGGTTGGTTTATCTATGCTAAGCCGAATAAGCGCTTACGTATGTCTTCATTTTTTCGGCATGATCCCTTCGGGTCGATCAAGTCATTGCAAGAGCCGGGCTCCGCGGGGGACCGGTCAACAAACCAATGGAAAAGCTCTGGTATGAATCCTGATGCTTTTACTTATGCACTAGCTGACTTTTTCTGTCTTAAGGGGCTCCATGATACCCTGACAATCTAAGCCTATTGTATAGCTTGCCAGGTCATTGCTTGAATAAGATGGAGTGCGGACCCAGAGGGTCTTTCATCCTCCAGGGCTATTTTGCACGCGATGACTGAATCCCAAAACATGTCCTACAGAAACTTATCCAGTTTAGACGTCTCGGATAGGACAGGTCTCCCCGACTACGAATTACACAATGTGCCTGTTGCACCGCCATATACAGCCACTGCATCGGCCCCTGCAGCTGCAGGAGCAGCAGAAACAGCACAGAAAGCAACTGTTGCAAAAGGCGCCGGAGGACCGTGGTATGACCCGCGCTCATGGTCAGTGTTAACGAAATCGCTCGTCGCCGGGGGTCTGGTCGTTATCATTGTTGCGCTCGTCGTGGGCATCTATGAGGGCACGAAATCATCCTCATACCCCGACTACTCTACCCTGAGCTACAAGCTCGCAGATACATACTCGGGCTCTTCATTCTTCGACGAGTTCGAATACTACACAGCCACCGACACAACCGATGGATTCGTAGAGTATGTGCACATCATCCATCCACACATCTCCCTCCATGTACACATCCAAAAGAACACAACTAACCCTACACCAGCTACGTCGACAGCACCACCGCCTCATCAATGAACCTAACCTACGCCTCCAGCTCCCGCGCCGTCCTGCGCGTCGACACCAGCACCTCCAACCAAACCAGCGGCCGAAAATCCGTGCGCATCACCTCCAAGAAAACCTACAACGACGGGCTCTTCATCTTCGACATCACCCACACGCCCTACGGATGCGCCACTTGGCCCGCCCTCTGGCTCACCGACCCATCCAACTGGCCCGAACACGGCGAAATCGACGTGCTGGAATCCAACAACAAAGCCACCCACGGCAACGCGATGACCCTGCATACCTCAAGCGGATGCAAAATGGACGTCAAGCGGAAAGAAACCGGCACAGCCAAATACACCAACTGTCTCAACACCGCCAATGATAACGCCGGCTGCAGCGTAACAGGCGCGAAAGCAACCTACGGCGAGAAATTCAACACTAACGGTGGTGGCGTGCGTTCTTTCCCCATCCCCAAATCCATCTTCAATCCCCCACCCACACATCTAATATAAATTACCAGATCTACGCCATGGAACTCCGCCCCGCGGGCATCCGCGTGTGGATGTTCTCCCGTGACTCCATCCCCAGCGACATCTCGAACAGCAGCAACACGCCCGACCCATCGAGTTGGGGCGAAGCACTCGCCGACTTCCCCAATACGAACTGCGACATCAGCTCGCATTTCAAGAACCAGAGTATTATCGTCAATATCGATATCTGTGGTGATTTGGCGGGGGCGAGCACTTACTACACGGATCTGTATGATTGTCCGTCGACGTGCACGAAGTGGGCGGCGGAAAACGGGGCGAACTTTACCAATGCGTATTGGGAGTTTAAGAGCTTTAAGGTTTATCAGACGAGTTCGAGTGGGAATAGCTCGAGCAGTAGTACTAGTACGGTGGCGGGGGCGTCGTCGACGGCGGGGTGGTATGGAGTGACTGCGTCTACGACAACGACGACAGCGGCTGGGGCGGGGAGTACGACGGGGCAGGATGGAGGGGAGGGAAGTCAGAGTGGTGGGCAGGATGGGCAGACGGGGAGTCAGGGGGGTGGAGGGCAGGAGGGGGGCAGTAGTAGTAGTGGTAGTCAGAAGGAGCAGGGGGGTCAGGGAGGGTATTAATGATGATGATGGTAATAATAGTAATATCAATTGACTACTCTTCTTGTTCCTTGGCTCAATTGTCACCGTCTATGGGTTCATTGTAGGATTGATGAGATGGTATTTGGCCAATGATCAGTGTCGATAACATAAAGCATCATAGAGATGATGGCATGTACAAAATTAGCACTAGGACAAAGATAATGTACAAGTCTACATTCAATTCTTTGGTATGTCATCATAATGAAAATCGCTCAACGTCCTACATTCGATCCGTACAACTTGCTTTTCCAATCGCTCATTCGTTACTTACACGACACGCTGCTAAACAAATCGCTGACTGAATGCTCCTGGCTGTCGCCAGTCTCGGGACTGGGAAAGATAAGAGAGGAGAATATGGTAAGACATGAAATAAGAAAGCATAGGTAGTAAGGTAAAGGTAAGAGGAAAAAGTCAATTACACAGAAGGAAAGGGAAAAAAGGAACCCAGCCGGGCTTGGTCCGTGGAAGACCAACCGACGCTGGTAGCACGGTGGATCACGCAAGAAACCAATACCCGTGCATATTGATTTCTGTTTTCGTAAGACAAAATGGGCATATCTCGGTAGAGGAAAGAGGAGTTAGTAGGGATAGATGGGTAGGGGTCGGGGTACACGACTCCTAGATGCAAAGAGGGAACCAAAGGATCACGCAGGGTGTAAATGTGTCAAATGCGAGTCTCGAGCTTTTGCAGATCTAACAATGAGCATGGCTGATGCAAGATGCAGATGCAATGCGATGCAACACTCTATGCTTGGCGCTTGAATTAGGCCTTCTCCTCGAGGCTGGCCTTCTGGAGCTCTTCCGACACGTCGGCAGCAGCGTCCTTCTCCTGCTTCAGCTCGGCGTCAGCGGAAACCTCGCCGTTCACACCGCTGTTCTTGAGAGCGGGCTTCTTGGCGGAGTCGGTGGCACCGTTGACGGCGGTCTCTTCCGCCTCGAGGCGGTCAATCTCCTCCTGGGCCTTCTTGATGTTCTGGACAGGTATTAGCGTTGAATCTCGAGTAAAGAAAAGGCGTCTAACTCACCTCCTCGGTCTTAGAAGCCTGGTTCTTCTTCCACTCGGTGATCTTGGCGGCAAGCTTCTCGATCACAGCAGGGACATCCGACTGGTTCATGGGAGGGTCAATCTTAACCTTGGCGAAGTCCTCGATCACACCAACGTTGAGGTTGAACTTGGCCTCAGTCGGGGTACCGGGGGCGGGGCTGCCGTTGGCGCCCTTCTTGCCCTTCTTACCCTTCTTGCCGCCAGTGCCAACGAAGTAGTCCTCCTCGCGGTCCTCCTTCTTGAGAACCTTCATACCCTTGAGGTTGGAGTCGTCCACGGTACGACCGACATCAGCACGGAAGCTGGAGCCCTCGTCCTTCTTCTCATCCAGACCCAGAGAAACGAAGTCGTAGGAGGGGTTGAAGTGGCGGATCAGACCCTGAGCGGTGAGGATCTCGTCGGTGTAAGCAAGACGAGAGGCCTCCTCAAGCTTCTTGTCAGCGATCTTCTTGCGCTTCTCGCGCTCGAAGGCATCGCGCTGGGCCTTCTGCTTCTCACGGCGGACTCTCCAGGCCTCATCCTCGTACTCCTTGTAGGCCTTGCGGGCCTTGTAGTAGTTGTCCTTGATTTCGCGGATGGCGGTCCACTTCTTCTGCTGCTCGCCGTGGAGCTTGGTGCGCTCGTCCCTCAGGGCGTTGAGGTTCTTGAAGGCACTGTCCTGCTCGGCCTTGATGGCATCGAGCTCCTTCTGGATCTCGGAGTACTTGTCGCTAAGAGCCTTGGCCTCGGGGTTGTCGAGGGTCTTCTTGAGGGAAGCGATCTGGGTCTTGAGGTCGTTGATAACCTTCTGGGCCTCCTCCAGACCGGCGAAGTTCTTGCGCTGCTTGCGCAAGTTGGAGACGTCGGACAGAATCTTGCGCTCATCGACCAGGCGGAGGGTGCCGGAGTCGACCTGCTTCTCAAGGCGGGCAATTTCGCGGTCGAGTTCCTCGACATTCTTGAAGGACATGCGCGTACGAGAGTTGTTCTGTTCGGAAATGCGAGCCTTGAGGGTAGCATCGAGGGCATTGATCTTCTCCTGGGTGCTGGAGCGAGAAGCCTTGAATCCCTGCTGCTTCTGACGGATCGAAGACAGCTCAGCGCGGAGTTCCTGCTGCTTCTTCGCGGCGGGCGAGTCCTGGTTGTTGGGCTTGGCGGTCTCGATCTTGGCCTTGATTTCGGTCTTTGATATATAATTAGTTTCTGAGATCACGGATAGATGATATGTTGCATTGGTCTTGCGATTGGATGAAAGGCGGAACAGCAAAGATGCAGTGTAGCGCAAAACATTCCGAATGGATAATTAGGCAAAGAAAAGGCCACGGAGCGGTAATGAATCACCGCATCTAAGAGAAATGCGATTGCACGATGCCAATTAAAGCAGAAAGAGATCCTCACATACCAATTTGGCCTGAACAGCGGCATGCTCCTTCTCAGCCTGAGCGAGATCGGCCTTGAAGGCCTCCTCGTTGGGCTTAGTAGGCTTCACCTTATGCTCCGTGGCAGGAGCGGATTTGGCGTCAGCGGCCATGGTAAGAGGTGGAGAAAAGCAATAATAAGACAACACTCGACAAAAAGAGCGCGATTGACCGAAATCAACCGGGAAAAAAGAAAGCTCCAACGAGCGGGAAGAAGGGAAAGGGGGAGAAGGAGGAGGGGGGGTTGAGGGGGGAAGGAATGGAAAGAGAACGCTGGAGAAGAAGAAAGTCGGTACTCTTTTCTTGGTCTGGCCTTTGCTGGTCCAAAAGGCGGCGCTTACCGTTTGGCGCTTTTAGCGCTGGCCCGCCGATTTTTCGAGAACCGCATTTTGCTTCCATCATCGCCTCTCTCCCCTCCAGCCTAGACAGCTTCCTGCTCCGCACTCTCCGGGCTTGATCGGTTTATCTGCCCGATTATTGCTCTTCTTCTACCTTTACATCTAATCTCTTCCATTTTCAAGTTTCGCGCCGCGGTGTGCCATCCCCCTTCAACCATGGACGAGGACTACTCTGCAGGCTCCGTGGACGCCGACCGCGAGATGACCAGACTCTGGCGCACATGGAGGACAGTCTTTGAGATGCTTCTGGATCGTGTAAGGATTTTCTCCAGCTTCAAGCGAAGCGATGCTTCCAATAACCACCCCGCGATCATCCCACTGACCAAGTTCAACAAATCCACAGGGCTACGAGGTGACAGAAGATGAAGTGCAAATGCCTCTTCACGAATTCAAGCAAAAATATTCCGACCCTCTAGGATACCCCGAGTATGCGCGCCTTTCATTCCATCCAATAATTTCCAGTCAACCCCCATCTAACCCCATATTTCATCAAACAGCCGCAACAAGATGAAAATCAGCGCCCGGCCCACGGAAGCCATGCAAGCGAAATACACGCCCCTGCCTAGCAAATCGAACCCGAACCCCCAGCCGGACTGCGGCACCATCTACGTCGAATTCTGCCCGGACTCGACCGGCGTCGGTACCAAGCAAGTGCGTACCTTCAACCACTTCGTCGACGAGAACAACTTCCACACCGGCGTGTTCATCACCCAGACTCCCATCTCGCCGTCTGCTGTGCGCCTGCTGAGCAGCATGCCCGGCCGCATCTGCGAGCATTTCCAGGAGCAGGATCTGCTGGTCAACATTACCCGTCACGAACTGGTCCCGAAACACGTTTTGCTTAGCCCCGATGAGAAGGCCCGTTTGTTGGAACGTTACCGTCTGAAGGAGTCGCAGTTGCCTCGTATACAGGTGTCTGATCCTGTTGCTAGATACCTGGGTCTGCGCAGAGGTCAGGTCGTCAAGATTATTCGCAGAAGTGAGACGGCTGGTCGGTATGCTAGTTATCGGTGGGTTATATAATCGGTGGGTTGTTTTCGAGGGTCCTGCGATGAAAAGAATGAGTTGTCTCCGGTTATGGTGGTATGCTTACTGCTGAGCCGGAGGTTACGCGTTGCAATTCTCTACCCGATGCGGGTCCAGCCAAACGGCCCAATCTGCCCACCGGAAGGAGTCTATTACAGACGCAGAAAACAAAGAAAAGACACAAGGAACAAGACGAAAAGAGAGGCTGGGTTGAGAGGAAAATACGGCGAGGGGAGGAAAAAGAAAGGAAAAGAAAAAGAAAATTTTACCGAATACAGGCATCGGGCAGCATGGCGTAAAGGCGAAAAATTCTCTCGAAAGTGTGTTTCTTAACGGGTGGTGTATGTGTGTATGTATGTCTATGCTACGTCTTATTTTTATTTTAGGTGTGCTTCGGTTTCACCTCTATTAGTTTCCAACTACAAATCTATCTATCTACACAAGTCATACAATGGTTGGATTAATTTGAATGGTATCAAGTTATAACCGAAACTTACATTACCACAATATATGTACTTGATTTTCTAGAACAGTCAATGATCTTCCCTTTCTATTTTAGTGCTCACTCTTAACTGCCCTTTACTTACTGAAAAGATCCACCCTCTAGGTAAGATTGCGAAGAACTAGCTGAAGGACTGTCAAGACAAACTGCATATCCTTGGAGCGGAGCGCACAAACCCTGAACAGCGGCGGAGGTATCTCATCGATATCATGTCATCATCCCAGGCCATTGTAACTATCGCACGCGCTGACACGAACTGCAGGACGAGGCCAGGCGGACGGCCTCCGGTTTCGACTGATTCTCACACATGTTTTATAGGATGAATGTGTTGAATGCCTACACGCTATCCTCACATGGAAGATGATATTCCATGAGCACAAGCAGACCCGTAGGACAAACTCTTTAGGGGTTGGCTTACCGGTGACCCTGCCCTCCCTGGTGGTAGTGACAGTAGACTACTACTTGTGGCAGGGATATATCTTTCAGAAAACCGAAAACGACATAGAGATATGGGAAATAATTGAAAACCTTCTAGAATAAACGTTGATCAAGGGGTATATCAATGGGTGACACCGGGCAGCAGTTAGAAGACATGAAGATGCACAACTGTTGTCGTATTATCGCTGCTCGGCATTTTCGAACGAGCAAGACACGTATCAATCTTAAGCTTGTGTCAAGAATCAATAAATTCATTCCTCTTGTCTTTGATATTCAGCAACTTCACCACCACCGTGTATAACAGCCACTCTCATCTTCGCAAGCTGGTTATGAGCTGACTTTGCATGCATATAGACACCTCCCTTGAACATGGATGTGGCATCCTTTCCGATACCGCTCTGGATCATAGTTCGGCCACCAGGATGTGTATCAATAAAGCGAGACACGTCATGCACAATACCCGAAATGACAATGAGAGGACGCTTCGAGACCTCTATCTGGTAGATATAGTCCCTCCATTGAATCACTGGTAAGCTCTCAATGGGAATTCCCCAATCAAGCTGCAGCTTCTCATGATCAAGAAGCCTTTGCCGTTGTTGCAGACGACATTTTAGAATCTCGTTGTCCGCGAATGTCTTCAGGTCATAAGCAAGCCCAAGCTGACCCCATATCCAGATGATCCATTTAGTCGGATCATATTGCCACCATTTCTCTGCATTGCGATAGTCCGAGGGAAAGGAATGGTGGAAATTATGATACCCTTCGCCCAAGGCAAGAAGTGCTGTAATCACATGATCACGTGATTATCTCCGCTCATCGAATGGTTGCTCTCCTAACCAGTGAGCTATGGACAGGGCCAGGAAGACCTTTAAAGGTACCAAGGCCCCATGTGATGCATGCGGCCAAAGGCAATGATAGTCTTGATTGCCTTCAGTGGACCGATGATTGCTACAACGAAGTCAAGGTAAATTCTTACCTGCAGTGATGCCAAATCCCGTACAAAAGTAATATAGGACTGACCATATTGCTGTTTCTTTCTGGAGAGGTGTCGAGACTGCCTGGAGGCAGCCGTAAAGAGGAACTACTATAGTAAGGATAATTCCCCACCAGTTTAGGTGCTTATACCAGTTTCGCCACGTCATTGGGAGCTGTGAGATGTGAACTCTTTGTTCACTAAGGGGTTGGAGCTTGTGAGCCTCCATATTGCTTTCCGAGTTTACGGCGTCTGGATAGTGTACCAAGCACTATCAGCGACTGACAATTAAGTTTTGCGCTCCTATATGGGTCATGATCCGATCAGTAAAGAGCGAACGCCAATATTTGTAGTAGATTCGTTATACCATAGTGTGCTCATCGTATTCACGGGTACGCATGTGGTTGTTATTTACCATGTGGGGATAAGGTATTTTTCTGTACACATCCTAGAAGGAGTAGTAGAATTGGAGAAATCAAGTGCTTTCTTCCCAAAGAGCTGAGAAGCATGTGAAGTATCACTCCAGCAAGAGACAGCGGGGTATGCGACAGATGGTTCTCTTCACAGCGGCAAGTTGATGACGCAAGGTGTCGAGTAAGGAGAACGAGAGCTTGCATGATATCATGTTGCATAATCTGTCTTACTATATCATTTCTTCCACTAGATCGAGACAGTCAGAATCTTGACACAACAGCGCTATTTTGGACTGTATCTGCACTCTAGTTTCATTTGATGCCACATCGTTATCTGAACAAAGGGGCAGATTGAGAATATAAGAGTGCCATGATAGTATGAAAGTACCGTAATAGTGCTACCTTGCCTATCCTTGCGTCCTTGTAATGCGCAGAAATGATAAAACCTGGTTGTGCAGAACAACTGTGTGTAGAACTGCAAGTGTGAACAGATTGGACGCACTGCAGTGAATATCCTTGATTGCCGAAAACCAACCGGCAAATAAGAGGCATGTGAGACATAGACAGTGGTCTCTAGTGCAGTAATTTCTCAGTGCATGCTGTCCCTAGGGTTCATGAAAGCTGCCATTGCTGGGAATCAGAAAACGCGAGTCTACACAAAATAACATCACAAGTGTGCACATGGTTTGCCATAATTGCGATAAAAGACCCAGACCAGTACCTGAGAAAGCAGGCTCTTACGCGAAAAACGGTCCATGATGAAGCGTAGATGCTGTGGTTGTGCAAGGAGATGGCCAACCATATCGACTTCGGTAAACAGGTTCAGATCTGATGTCGTCTTAGAGAGCTCGTTGCTGATTCTGACCGTCTTGTCTTCGGAGAAAGCGAATGAGGTCCCAATAACTGTATATAGGCGACTTATCTCATGCTGATTATGTGATTTCCATCCATCAGCTATCCACACCGGACGCAGGTCCCAGGGTATCTGGCGGCACTTCATGATCGATTGCCACAATGTCTCGAAGCTAAACCGAGACTTAACTCCACTGACCGCGTGCACACAGCCCTGGGTCCCTATAACTAGGTGACAGAGTAGACGGTCAACAACCACGTCTACAGGAACCACATCGTGATGGTTATTGATTTCCGGGGTAGGGGTTTGTGTCGCTATCTGGAATCGCCAGGATGGGATCAACATCAGCCCTGCGGCAACCACACTGCATGGCGATGACATTGGAACACAGTATCCCGGAAAAGGCATGCGTTGCGCAGGCCCAATAATTGAAGGACGTATAATAAGGAGCTTCTCTTCCCCGCCCATTTCTGCGAATTTAAGGGCCAGTAGCCGCTCAGTCAAATGCTTGGCATAGGCATATGCCCAGGGGAAGTCGTTCGCTTCGTACGTTTCACTCGTTCCATACTTTTGCACTGCGCTCCATTCGTCAAGCGGATTTCCTTCCTTGTTCAGATGATAGAAATCCTCAGTGATCACCAGATCGGAACCAGGACTTTTCTCGTGAATATGAGCATTGGTATACGCCGTGGAGACGTAGACGAATCGATCAAGGGCTCGGAATGAGCTCGCAAATTCGGCAACCATTTCAGTAGCCCCAATAATCCCCCGGGACACAGTATGAATTGGCCTCCCTAGATTGATCGGAGATGCTGCATGAATGACGATATTGATATTTTCACGGAGCATTTCTTGATCGGATTTAGACAGCCCCATGCTAGGGAAGGTAACATCACCTTCGAGGACAACCAATTTCTTTGATTCCAATAGCATATTTGCTATCTCGGCCGACAAATTCGCCTCCCATTTTGCACGCAGGTCGCTTTTGTGGTGTTAGGAAGCGATGATATAACGCTGGGGTTGTGTTGAGCGGCTTACTCTATCCCTCCTCGGCAGACTAGGTAAATACATGACAACGATGTCGTTGTTATGAGGCGGTGGATCAGGGCTGTTCCCAAAAACCCAGTTCCCCCTGTCACCAGGACTGATTTCTCGTTGTAATATTTCCACATTGTTGGTATGCTACTTTGCAGTGACGGGAGGGACTTTGATAACTCCTCTTGGCAAAGAGAATTCGGCGGTCCCAAATGAGAAAGATCCTTGAAATTAAGGTCGTTAACTCAGAAAAGCTTTCCCAGAAACAGAGGTTATAACCTAGACTACTTAAGTGATTCCTGCAAAATTCCCAGTGTGGCTCTGAGGACCACCTATTTAGATGTTCATACGCTGCAACGAGTCAACTGACTCCAATTAATTACACACTGTTGTACTACCTATCTAGTCCCAAATAGTATTAATCAGTCAATCAATAATTATATTCTTATGTCACTATTGCAGCTCATTACCACTATTTCTAATATATTTCTGTAAGAAATCTGACTTTTATTAACTATATACTGTTGTACTACCTACCTAGTCCTAACTAGTATTAATCAATCAATAACAATGCTCTTGTATCACTATTGCACCTCATTACCGCTATTTCTAATATACCTCTGTAAGGAACCTATGTAGGGGCAAAAGTTAAAACCAAGACCATACTAAGGCCGGCATTACCCGCAGATTATACTCTGCAGACCCCTAGAATCCCTTATACTGTACTCAGGTACACCTGGGAGGAGGCGGGTACCTAGGTACCCTTGTAACTAGTAAGGATTCAATTCCTCACAATTATTATATATTTCTCTTTGGGACGCTTCACCATACATAGTCCCTGGTCTTGATAGTGTGAACAGCAGCCCAGGTTAGTACTTGAGAGTAAGATACACAGAAATTCCTTCGTGTATTTCCAAATTTTAAGAAAGAAAAAGTAAATAAATAAATTAATGAATTCATAAGAAAAGAAAGAAAAAAGAAAAATAAAAAAAAAAAAAAAAAAAAAAAAAAAAAAAAAAAAAAAAAAAAAAAAAAAAGGAAGAAAGAAAAGGAAAAAAATCAAATCTTACTTCAAGCAGCATCCATCAGTACAAGCTCCACTGCAGCCAACCTTCCAAGATATCAAGGTCTATGATTATCCAGCACCTGGTCGAAGCGTTCCAACTCCATTTCAGGTTGAAAAGTAAGGTGCTACATAGCAAGAGTTAGCATTAAGAGATAGAAAGAATTATAACCCTGTAGTAGAGGTACTTGTTTTTATCACAATAACAACTTGACTCAACAATAGCACCTGCTTGTAATGCTGAGGCAGCAAAAAGTCTCAGTGCAGAAGCTATCTGGATTCTAGCTTATTCATATTTATATTATGATTAATTTATCCCCCGAAAAGCCGGCGGAGCAGATAATCAAATATTTCTAACTAGAACCAGAAACCGCGCTCCCTTAGTTTGATAGGCAGTCCGTACTTTCGCGTGAATACACTTTATATAAACCAAGAGTATTTTCAGTATAGAATACCTATATTATCAAAAAAGGATAGTAATGTATTATAAGTATCTTTCTTCACCTCAAGTCATAATGTTCTGGATGTCTTTCGCTCCCAATTTAAGATCATTATAGCAAGCTGATTGATTACTGATGACTGAGAGGGAAGTCTACCCGGTCATGTTGTAGTGTAGCTTTCGGTGAATGATTTCAAGACTTGAGAAGATGGGTCTGGTTTATCTTTAGAAAAATTCTTCTCTGCTGGCTCATAACGGACAATTCTTCTACTTTAGGACGAAAGAAGTACTAAGAAGCTACCAGTCATATATAATACATAAAATTAAAAGATTAACTCACAGTGCCCAGTTCTTAGCCGCTTGACTATGTCTTTCACATATCCTACATTTATAACGTCCATCATCAGCTCCAACGCTGAGCTTGGCACACACACACACCATGTCCCAGTACTGCTCAGCTGATACAAAAATAAGATAAGAATTTACAAGTCATATACTCATCCATATACGTAGCACGTCGTGATCGATCGTCAAATCATTCGGAGCATCCCAGGCCAGTCGCAACCAATCACCGTCTGGAAAGCAATCTCCCCACATCCTGAAGCTCAACCTCGTTCCCTTCAATGATAGGCGCTGACACATCAGCCTGCGAGCGATAGGAAGGGACCGGTGATTCCGGAGGATCACTGAAGTGAACACTGGAGCCGCGACGGCGATTGGAAGACGAATGGGAGTTACTGCGCAGGCCTCCAGGGCGGGAGAAGTTGGGTGATGAGGGTAAAGGGAGTTGGTGGGACGGGATGGATGAGGAGGTAGTATTGAGATGAAGTGTTCGGGCTGATCCTCCAATGTCCTGCGTGGAGGCGTTGCTTGCCCTGCTGGCATAGCGTGAATATTGTGGAGTTGGAGCACTGGTGGGAGAGGTCGGGGTAGGATTGTTGAGAAGACTACCGACGTCAAAGATACGGAGGTTGGTGGTATCTGTCGAGGAGGATTTGCGCGGTGTCTTGTTGGTTTCGATGTACTCGTGCGGACTGACTTTGATATCTAAGCTGCCCGTGCTGGAGGCCCGGTCGTCTTCACTGCCGCCGGAGCGCTGGTTGAAGGACCAGTTGGGGTCTAAGGTGCCGGCGCGGGCTGTCAGTGGATGGATGGGCATCGCAATGGGCGCAGGACGGGGTGTTTTCGCGTCTGCAGAGCATAGGGATGGGTCCAGTCGGATGCCCAGGTCTGCAGCGAGATCTGAATCACTTCCCCATTGGTGGTGGGTGATTGTTTGACGACGCACGGAGCTGTGATCCATGCTTTCGCTGACGGAGGCTGAGCCTTGAGCCTTCTTGAACTTGTTCTTCTTGGCGCCCCTGTCACGCACAAATGAACCTATTATGACCGCGTTTGAGACCGCCGTGGCGGCTAAAATTTCCAAAGACGCGACGAGCGATCGGTATTGCTGCGAGCCATCGTTCCAGATGACAGAGGGCACTCGATAGCATGTGATTCCGACTAGAATCAAAGACAGAGCGAAGAGGATCACAAGGGAGACTTTGCGTTTCAGAGGCATGTGAGTCATCACGATGAAGGGAATCGGGAAGGAGACTAGGAGCAGATCGGTCATCACGTCGCAGGATCCCATTGTGATCAGGTTGGCATAGCCGAGGCGACATTTTGGACCTGGGTCCGGTACAACTTGCCAGTAATGGTCGAAGGGCTGGCATTCAGCCAGAGTAGCAATAATCACTGCCAACAATGTCGATGCCAGGAAGTAGTAGATGAATTTGAGGAATATTCGGAGGGATCGTCGCCAGATCTTGCCTGCCACTCGCTTGAGGAACTCGCATACTGTGAACTTGGCTATCCAGATGCTATTCGGATGGGAACGGTTAGAGCTGATCCTCAAGAGACACTCGGCGAGAAGAGGGACAACTTACAAGATAGCATAGAAGATGCGCGCCACAAGAACGAATTTACTGCCAATGACTCGATGATCAATATCTTCGGCAGACAAGCCTACGGTCTTGGTATTATTGGTACCCCAGATTAGAACGACATGCACGCATGCCATGCGGATTAATAACGGGATGACACTCGCCATCATCACCTTATCTTCGCGGAAGAAACGCTCAGTCCGAATATAGCGACCGCAAACCCGGACAACAATGATGGCTACTGAAAAAGCCGTAGCCCACCAGCTCACGAGCAGAGTGGGATTATTTTGCTCCTTGGTCCGGGCATCCGGAGGAATATCGGAAAAGAGCCCACGAGATTCAAGCATCCACTGTACATTCATGGCCGCTGTGCCACCTCCGAAGAGGGGCCAGTGAAGTGGAAGCTATCCCCAAAAGCAAATAGAGATGCCCGAGTAGTTTCAGCAGCAGTTGATATGAAGCCGTGACGTTCCTTCGTACATTCACATCGTTCACTACTGGGATCGGTACCTGATAGGCACGTGCCCTACTCCGGATCTGGTGTGGGGAAGCCAGCTCAAAGAGGAGCCGGAAAGTTACGATGGTCGCTGTCAAGGACGCCCGAGACCAGGTGGAGATGGCGATCGGCAAACGGTGCTGCTAGTAAAAGGTGACAAGAGCTTTTCTCCTTTCAGTAGACGTGAGTGTGTCCCTGCTGGTAAGAATGTAATAACGATGACAGTAGTAGTAATAGTAAGAAGCTCGGACGCGTTCTGTGGATTTGCGGGGGAGGCTTGAGACTCTTTCGCCAACCAGTTCTGTCCGGGAGAGTAGTATCAATGTAGAAGAGGTGCCAAGTACACCGCCGTTCTGACGTCGAATGTAAGTAATTATAAGAAGTAAGCAAGACTTGAACAGCAAGTCACATCAGCGGAGAAGTAAGTATTTTTTGCAATCAGATTGCGCGATGAGCGCCGCGTCAAACAAGGGGGTTAGAGATAACAACACGGGGACCTCTACCACTGGCACTTATACCTTAAAGGTGAAGCATAATATATTAAAGCTCGCATGGCGAGAATCCGCTAGACTTGGGATGGGCCTACGGGTCATGGCGCGCTCGATAAACTTCGCGCTGGGGGGGAAACGGAAGATAACGTAGACGGGAACGGTGGGCGCCGGATGTAATAATGGAGGCTTGGGAAACCAGGTTGCGCGAAATGATGGGGGGGGGAAATCCCGGAGAAAAAAAGAACCAAGATAACTTGGGAGCGTGGACCAGCCAGAGAGGAGCGATAGAGCAGGGGAAGAAAGCTAGTAGTAACTGGTGCCTAGCTCACCTATGGCGTCTAAAACAGCCAATGAACAGGGAATGGCTGGATGGACGGATACGAAGCCATCGTCCAGCTCACGAGATTGCTTGTGATATGGGGAGTTTGCCACATGATTTGCAGCTGATTTCGGGCCACGATCGTGTGGGTGGACAGTTCTTGCCAGCGTCATGACTCCTGCGAGGTGGAGATTATCGTTCCATACAGAGTAGCAAACTTGGCCATTGTGATCGGTGAAAAGAACAGGAGGTTATCCGCGGCGATAGGCCGATGATCAGTCGATGCGCCGGGAACCAACACCAATCACCGAATTTCTCCTCCATGGGAAGGTCGGTCCTGTGGACAAGCAACAGCAGTAGCAAGTACTAGCAGCTGGAAATGATAAGCCCCTGATAGGGCGAGTGTCCAGGCCCCGCTTACTGACAGCGTACATTAGCTGGGCGGAGCTAAACATGGGGGGTGGTTGGAGTGGACACACGAACCTTGGGTGGGTTAGTTACTTTTCTTACTCCCCTCGCAGGAGGGGAGCTAAGCAGGAACCACAACCAACAAACAAAACAAAGGTTAAGTAAGAAAGAGCGAGTGATGGAGTGGGAGAGGAGACAGACGGAGACTGTCCGGGCGGCAAATCTTAAAACAAAACAAAGCAACGTCCAAGTGTCTGTTTTGTCTCCACTGCCTGGCTGCCTTGTAATTAGTTGGCTATGGCTGGATTCAAATCCCTCACATGTTTCCTCTCAGTGACGTTCTCTACTTCTCTACCCCAGAATAACCCTACAGCAGATTCCAAATCCATCAGGCACTCATTTGACTGATCCTCTTCGTTACACGTGAGATATTAGTACTGGGGCGATGGACCGGATGAACATAAGTATACGCGCAGAACCGAAGAAAAGCAAAGTATGTCAAGGCACCGGTTTATCTCCGTCATAACATGATTCGTTCTCTCCTCATGGCCAAACCAGGGATTCCCTGAAACTTTGAACACAGAGATAAGGCGTACTACTTTTACTTACTTACTTTTGCCTACGGTCGGAACCGATGCGCACTTGGGGACTTGTCGGTGTCCCGACCGGTCGATGCCGAGGACACACGCCTAACTGCCAGGGGGAGCAACTCTCTCGTGGCCCATAAGCAGGCCTGATCCATGCAATGAAATTAAGTACTAAGGCTCGGAACGTTCTCCTCCTCGAATGATAAGGGGATCTCGACCTTTTCATTGTCCTGATCTATCTATGTGTCTAAAATAATCCAGTAGTGCTCAAAATGTACAATATCACCAAACAGTCATGAAAAGTCTAGACGCGACGAATGCTGATAAGCCTAGTTCTGGCTCATCTACTTACTCCCTCAGGGACTGGATGTCGCCCCCCTTGAGGATGCTGTCCAGGACCACCCGCAGTTCTTGCAAGAACTTGGTGACCTCCTGCTCGGTTCCCACGGTGATTCGCAGGCAACCCTCGCAGCCAAGTTCCTTGCCACGGAACCGCACCACCACTCCCCTCTTCTCCGCCATGGCCTCGTAAGCAGCCAGCGCTGTCTTGTTGCTAGGTTTGCCGCCCTCGCTAGCCGGCTTATCTAGCATCTCGACCAGGAGGAAATTGGCCTCTTGGCCGCCAAGGAACCGGCCGACACCGGGGATCTTGGGCAGTTCCTGCACCAGCCGATCCCGCTGCACAATAATCTGCTCCCGGTACTTCTTCATCACGGTCATGTTGGTCGGCGAGAGAGCGGCCGTGGCAATGGCACTGGTAGGGCTAGAGATGTTGTACGGGGCCTTGAGGCTGTTAAGCAGAGTTGCAATTGGGGGACTGGTGAACGCAACACCCAGGCGGATACCCGCCAGACCAAACGCCTTGCTCAGCGTTTGCATGACCACCAGGTTGGGCCACTCAGTCACCCATTCAGCCAAACTAGAGCCTTCGGGGGCAAAGTCAATGTACGCCTCGTCGACAACCACCACTCCGTTCCACGTCGGGTGCTCCAGCACCTTCTGAATATCCGCCTTCTTAATCAAATTCGCGGTAGGGTTTCCGGGAGAGCAAATATAAGCCATCTTGATCGAGGAGTCTGCCGCCAGTGCCTCATTGATCTTCTCCGGCTGCAGTTGGAAGCCATTGTCCACATCCAAAGGCACCTTCACAATCTCGATATCGTTCACCTGCGCACTAACCCCATACATGCCATATGTGGGAGGGCAAGTGAGGATCTTATCCTTGCCCGGAACACAGAAACATCTCAACAGCGCATCGATGGCCTCATCCGATCCGACACCGACGAAGAGGTTCTCAGGCCCCAGGTCCTTCTGGGTGTGGGTGTGGGTGTTGCGCAGCTGGCAGAAAAGCTTCTTCAACTCGACCTGGTGACTGACACATTGACTTCCTTTAGCAATCCGAACAACAACAATTATATCACACAATATACATGAGCGACAGGTGTGTAGTGAAGGAAGGACCTTGTGCGATCGAGGGAATGAGCGGAGCGAGACTTACGGATCCGGATAGCGGTTCAGACCCAGGAAATCAATTTCTGGCTTGGAAGAACCCGTCGACGATCCCGTTACAGTAGACTCCTGCAGGGCACCTTCAGGGTTGAGGGCAAGGCCGGGGCCGTAGGCGTTCTCGTTGGCGTCGAGCAGGACGTTCGTTCCATCATCTTTGTAGTCACTGACTCATTAGTGCCTTCGTCACACAGGTAGCGGGGAGGTGGGGAGGGGGAACACACTCTCTGGCGCAACGGTAAGGCTGCAATTTGAGGATGTTAGGGCGCGCGCACTTGGCGAGATCGAATGGAGCCATTGTGAATGGGATTGGATGTGTGATGAGCGAGAGTATGGTGGTGGGGAGAGGAAGAAAGAATGGCTAGGCGGGGAGGGGAGTCATCGGTGGCGGGGAAGTTGATCGGCGGAACTCCCGGTGTCGGCGGGAGTGTCGCTCCAGGTACTGCGGCAGTTGTTCGGAGTATGAAAAAAATGGTGATACAGATAAGTCTTAATCCAAATATTGTACAGTTTGTTATTCATCTATCTATCCTTTCTCTTATGTAATGCTCCAGGCCTTCTATATACTGTCGGCAGTCCTTGATTTTTGGATCATTTCGGACTCTCAAGATGATATACTAGATACACACATGACTACCAATGCCGTACAAGCAACAACGCCTCAAATGCCTTCAGACAAATGTCATCTAGGGTTGCCCATGCCCCTTCCGGATCGAGCGGGCAATCATGCTTTAGTCATAAGTCTCTATTCTTTAGCTGCATCGGAAGTCTTGGCCTTTTTGCCAGACTTCTTGTACTTATCTTGCTTCTCGCGCAAGTATCGCCAGGTTCGGCTGACTCCTGAGGTGAGGAGCCCCTTCGCCGATTGCACCGTACTGGGCCAGCGGATGGTCTTTGCAATGGTAGTCTGTACTTCTTTCGTGAGGTTCTTGTCATCGGCGATCCGCTGTTCGAATGGACCTCCTTGCCTCCGACGCACTAAGTCGGAGTCGTTGTTGTTACTCTCCTTCATCATCTGGTCGAACTCGACCCGAGGGATTTGATAACGGGTCTGGTACTGGAAGTAGAGCTTCTCACGGAAGGAGTCGGGCAGACGGCGAACCATGTTACCACGCTTGACCGGATCCATATCCTGTGTGAGGCGCACGTTGGCTTCGGGATCATCGATCCAATCGCCCTCCGTGCAACGCTTGTCGTTGAACGTGACGTTGGGCAAGTTCTCAATCAGGGGCGCGTATAGTCGCCGGAAGTTAGCCATCTGCGACGACACAATGTTGTTCACCTTGCGGGGATCTTCCGCTGGCAGTGCCATGCGCAGATCACCCATGTAGCTCATGCTTGCAATGGTACTGTACAGTTGGAATTCGGTAAATTCGGCCGGGAGCAGCAGTAGAGCTACTCGGACGGCGGATAGCAAGTTCATTTGATTCGCCAGTCGCACCTTCGGGTGGTCACGCAAGATCTTGACCGGCTTTTGCAGCCGTCCAGCAAGATACAAGGTATCCCATTGGCTGAGATCCCGGCATAGTGTGTCAAGGTTCACGACCCCATATTTGATCAGTGTGCCATTTACTGTGATGTAGGGGTTAAAGTAGACGCCGGCGCCGATACGATCCTGCACTTGGGATACCATATAAGAGCCCAAAGAGCCCAGGCCAGAGTAATGATCTCGGTGCTGGCTCAGATTCAAGGAGTGCCAATGTTGGGAGTATGATACTCCAAAAATAAAGTCAATCATTTTCCCTTGCCCCTGCTGCATGTTCTTGATGGCTGCTGGGGCCGACGGGTGGCATTGACTGGAGCCAGGCGCACTGCCTGTCTGTTGGAAGACACCGGATCCATAGGCAAACGCATATCGAATCGGGGCTCGGAACTGCCAAAGAATCTGACGCAAGGCTTCTTTGAACTCCTGGTTAATTACCATATGCTGATTGACACCGAAGTCTTTCGAAGGTAACTCCGAAAATGCCGAGATCGATAGGTCCGGATTCGCATCCCAGTCGCCGGGATCCGACCGCTGTGAGGAGGTAGAGAAGGAGGCTGAAGACGAGGGCAGCAGGAGTCCACGATCAGCAGAGGCGGACTGCGAGGTTATGACACCATGGGAAGAGGATCGGTTCGAAGGGGAAGAGATGCCGTGAGATGATGAAGTCGAGTAGGGGTCAACCGAGAAGGAGCGAAAAGAACCCGGGATGCGCGCATGCCGCGGGAGAGACGGGTTGATCGAACGCAGGCGCACATAACCTGAGTTCGTGTTCAAAAGGAAAGTCTAGCAAGGTGTCTGTTAGTCTCTAGCGGGTGGTGTACTCCGAGGGTCTAGGCATCCCGGTGTCTCTTCTTACAGTAGCTTGGCGCATTGTCGCGAGTCCACCAAGGGAAGGGAAAGTTGAGCACAGCGAGGGCTGTAATTAGAAATCAAGTCAAGAATCATCTGAGAATGACCGCCTTAGACCATACTTCCAAATCGATACAGATTGGGAGGAAGGTAACTGAAGGCAAGGAAGAGTGGAGAGTAGACCTGGGGGGAAGGAGACGACAACAAATGTTCACAATAATGAGAATAATGAGGGTCTGACGTACTCTTCGGCAGGTGTTCTCGGCCTGTTCGATTGCAGCCCGGATGAGGAAAGTGCCCGACTTCGCCACGATCCCGACCCCAGACACTCCCAAAAACAGTCAAGCCACATCTTGCAAGTCACGTGGTGTCGTTCCTCCGCGGCGCGTTTCGGAGACCCAAACAACGCCGTAAACAAGAGCTGTGACGGCGGGCGCAGGCCTCGAACAACAACTCTCGCGCTTTAGTCGATAACAGCTCGATTTTACCCCAATTTCACCAATCCCCATGTCCTGAATTTCTCGCAGCAATGGCCCAGGAAATGGAGACCTTTGCAGCTCGCCTCGCCAGTTTCGATCGGGTGTTGTATCCCGAGAAACGGAGGTCATCCAGCGCGAAGTCTGCGAAACCGATCGCTTGGCCGCATAGCCGGCCATCTCCCGCTGAGGTATGGTGTTGGCATCTGCAACTTGAGGAAATGCACACTTGCTGATATGTCACACGGTCATAGCTTGCGCATGCAGGTTTCTTCTATAACCCTTACGAAACAAACCCCGATAACACAACATGTTTTCTATGCCGCAGAGCACTAGATGGTTGGGAGGAAGACGACAACCCTATTACAGAGCATCTCAAGCACACGCGGGACTGTGGCTGGGCTATCATGATGGATATTCAACAGCACAGCTCCAACCCTGCGGAGATCGAGGATCCCACAAGCGAGCGGATAGCGCAAGCCCGGCAAGCCACATTTGGCGAGTCATGGCCACATGACGGGAAGCGAGGCTGGTACTGCCAATCCGATAAGGTATGTTGAGTGCTGCTGCTGTACCTGCTGTGCCGGTTCCGCCTTGGGACTCTAACTGTGGCAATGCATTACAGATGGTGGAAGGTGGATGGTACTTCTGTCCGAACGAGGAGAGCAACGACTTGGCCACCTGCCCGTATTGTAAACTGTCTCTGGATGGTTGGGAACCCAAGGATGATCCATTGTGAGTTTGTGTTGCTCCTTCCTTCCTGGCTATCGCTAACTTGATCAGTGATGAACATTACCGTCGCTCGTCAGATTGCTCCTTCTTTGTCTTTGCCAAACCCTCTGGAAAGAAAGGAAAAGGCTCCCGGTCCAAAAAGTCTCGTGTTTCGAAGGCTTCCCGTCTATCCACACAATCCACCGCATCGGAAGCGCCAGTGTCTGAACTAGACGACCCGGTAGATCAGAGTACTGTGTCCCAATCAACCACAAAAACGAAATCCTCGAAGAAGTCTTCCAAATCCAAATCGAAGACAAAGTCAAAGAAGGAAGAAGTAGTGGACGCTGACAGTCAGATGGATATCGATACCACGGATTACAGCCAGCCTGAACCCAAAAAGACGAAACGCACCAGGGGAAAGAAGAGAACTAGTGACGAACTCAGGGACGATGCCGAACTTGTCGACTCAGAGACGGTCGAAAAGCCTGAACGACCGGCCAAAAAGAGAGCCACCAAGTCACGCAACAGCACACAGCAGGAATACGACAGCAGTCTGGAGGCCGTCAATGAAGATGTACAAGTGGATGATCCTCCTGTCGAAGAAGAGAAGCCAAAGAAGAGTCGTGGAACAAAGAAGAAAACGACATCCAAGAGCCGGAAGGTCTCCACGGATTCAGCCGTCTCGAGAGCCGCGTCGGAGATCCCTCCCACCCAGGAGCAGGATGCAGCAATGGATGTCGACCAAGATCTGGAAAAACCCAGTGGCGAGCCAAGCGAGGAGCCTCAGACTAAGCCGTTGAAAAAGTCCAAGTCTAAATCGAAAAAGAAGGCCAAGGCGGATCCGGAGCCGTCGAATGAAGTGGTAGAGCAGCGCACAGAACCGGAGTCGCAGGAGGAGGTGATTCCAGAGCCTGAGGAAGCTCCAGAACCAGAACCGGAACCACCAGTCGAAGAGGTTCAGCAGACCCGCCGCACAAGCAGACGACAGAGCGCAAGAGTCTCCGATAAGCTTCGGCATAGCAGCCATGACCAAGAGTCTCACCAGCCCGTCACACAACTAGAGCCTGAACCTACGACTAACGCTGGGGCCGACTCGAAGGAACATGAGTCATTCGTTTCTGTGGAAATTCCAGCAAGGAACTCAGAGCAAGGCGTCGGTGCAGCTCAGAATGGCAAGGAATCTAAGAAGACGAAGAAAAAGGCTTCGGCGGAGAAGCAGCGAGCTTCCAAACAGGCAGAACAGAAGGTCGATGTAGAACTTGACCACGAAGAGAGCCACACCAAGGCTGAGAACCGGGCGACAGACGAGCCAGAACAGCCTGACACCCCGCAACAACTTGAACAAGAGAAGTCTCAAAATCAAACTCCAGATCAGCCATCTGCTCGCCGCAGATCATCTAGGGTTCCTCCAAAGACGGTGGAAAGATACAGTGATATTCCCAGGGAGAAGCAATATGCCAGGTCACTAGCGGAATCTCGAAATTCCCACGTCGACCCAGCGCCGGAAGACAACCATCAGCCGGGAGAAGGACCTGAGCCAGCTGCGGTGTCGCCTCTTCCCTCGCCTTCCAAGAGCACTCTGTCACTGTCGCCGCAATCATCTGACGCTGAGAATCAGCCACCGTCTTTGAAACCGTCTGTGAACCGGGCGCCAGTAGCGTCACCTTCTAAGCAGGTTCGAATTCCACTTGCGGCCAGCACTCCTTCCCCCTCCAAGCGAGGGGCGAATGCAAATTCCCTGAAGACATCCCATCCGTGGACTCCCATTGACATTGATGGAATTATCTTGGCTGGAGGTGACAAAGAGAACATCGACTTTGGCGGTTTACGTAGTGTCAAGGGTGACTTGACAAGCCCTGAGAAGAAGATGACCGTCGAGGAATGGATCAAGTGGAACGCAAAGAACGGAGAGGAGAAACTCAAGCAGGAGTGCGAGAGGCTAGTCAGCCAGTTTGAACGAGAGGGTGCTCGTGCTATGCGGGTCTTGGAAGGCATAGAATGCATAGATTGAGCGGGTCACTTGGGTATTATCGGTTAGGAGTATGCGGGTCGGGTAATGGGCATTGGATAGGTACTTGGGTTCATCTTGTTTTTTCAGTGGTACAATATTTTCGCCGCAATCTCTGTTGATAACGGTGCAGTCGGTATATGCTTATGGGATTTCTGCGCTTTCTCATGCGACGATGATATTCTCCTTGTTTGGATAAAACGGAAGTCTGCGAATATTAAATGCTCAAGCTCCAAACGCCATGGGTATACTGCAGCTTTTAGCCCTGATAAACCATCCCATCTATGACCACGATTTCCAAAACAGACCATGCACATGCCCAAGCTCAACCACACGAGCTTACGCAATAATCCCCAACCTGCCCTCCCAGCTGTCATCCTCCTGCTTGATCCCATCGCCTCCCTTACGACGCTTCTCATTCCTCTTCCTCCTCTTCTCCTCCCTCTCCTTAGCATCCTGCTCCTCCCGCTCCTTCAGCCTCTCCCCAAGATCCAACTGCCAAGCCCGTCTCTCTTCCTCCTCGCGCACCCGCTTCCGATACGCCAACATCCTCAACCGCTCCCGCACATCCTCCACCGTAGCCCTCGTAACCTCCCCGCTCTGTCCCGTCGCAATCAAATGCTGCTTGCTATTCAGATGCTCCACAAGCTGCAAGTTATCCTTGAACGTCAAGTCACAGTCCGAGCAGTAAAATCCAGCACCCCGACCTCTCTTTCCAATCGCTGATCCCGACGCAACAATGGTCGTCTTGCCAACCATCGAAGCGACATCGAGTCGCTCTTTGCGCGATGTCGTGGCTTCCAGTTGGCTGTAATCCACGGGAGCGTGCCATTTCTTGCCTAGCAATTTGGCTTCATACCGGGCTTTGGATTCTTCTTTGCGCTTGGCTTCATCGTCGGCGGCTTTTTTGGCGTATTCTTCGCGGTCCCAGGTTTTGCGGAAGGCCGTGTCCGAGGAGGGCGTGCCGTAGGCGGAGGAGGATTGCTTGTTGTTGGTGCTCATTGTGGTTGTGGGAGTACCCTTTTGGGTACTGTTGATGGGAGATGGGTGTGGTGCTGGATGTGCGTGTGTACGTGTTGGTTTGAATAAGGGATGGTAGCTTGATATTTAGTTGATGTCGATGGTTATCGGAGGCGAAAAGAAGCTCGCCGGCAGAAAAGGCAGGCGGTGGGGAAAGCGGGGTGGGCGGATCTGCAGGACATCCCCGGATCTTATTCTTGGTTATTGTTGTTGTGTCTCCTTACCCATCTCTGCTTAATCTTGGTGTATATTGGGAGTGTCCACTCGAAGTCTAGACTTTCTATTTTAAGATATACTTGAACCTTGTTAATGGATTGGATACTCAGGACAATCTCTCTGCCTACATCCTATATCCACTTTACTCATTTAACCTTCCGAGTGCTTGCTTGAAGCAGCTCAATTCTTTGCCGCCTAGTCTCGTATAGCCACAATCAGGCATCTTATTTTCGGCGCCTAGGCAACAATTAAGCTGCCTCAATAATTCCCCAAGGCAACCAAATATCCGATGATAATAAGGTGTCTAGAGCATCCAAACAATAGAACGGTATTCAGTCAGCATTCACAGCTTGGTTACAATTCATATCTTCATAGACAACATCTGCTATTTCCATCTTACATCCAAATCACACTACCCACCTCACAAACAAATAACACACACACACACAATGGACTCATCATCACTCCAAGAAACCCCAGCCATTCCTTCCCTCAATCTGATGGACCTCCCCACAGAACTCCATCTACACATTTCCACATTTCTCCCATACCCAGATGCACTGGCTTTGAAACACACCTGTCGTCATTTCTACTCTCTCGTCTACACCGGGGTGCACCTCAAAGTCGACTGGTTTGTCGAGCGCTTTTCGCAGAAACTCGATTGTCCCATGGAGAAATGCTCGTTCCGGACGGACGAGGCGTTTTGTAACAAGACGATTCGAATGATCATGGAGCGCAGAAGACGGCATCTGGAGTGTAGGGCACAGCCGGGCGGGTGTCTGGTCATCGAGGGGAGAACTTGTCAGAAGGATCTGATTCCATTGTGGATGAAGAAACGTGGTCGCTGGGAGATGATTAGATCTTTTGGGAATGAAGGTTGGTTTGCATCTGAATTTGTTGCTTGGGAGATGAGCTAACGTGCGTGCAGCTTTGATTCATGGGCTTATCTTCCTCTGTGTCTTTTTGCTTTGGAATCTGAGTGCAAGGTGTGTTCTCTTATCAACATAAGAATAAGCTTGAGCCAAACTAACTCTGTCAGGCTACTAAACCGCGCGGTGGTGACAGTATAACGGCAGCTATTTGCACGTCCATCGCTCTTAAGTCGCACAAGATGATGCAACTGATTGGATACCTGACGCGAAACTATGTCAGTAGCAGCTGGCTGCTACATGTACGACGCACTGATACGACATCTACGTTGATACGACGACACGAACACACATCCACAGCTGGATCTAGCTGGATCATCCATGTAATAATATCTAGTAATCTGAAAGCAATATACAATATACATTTACTATCATCCCATACCATAGCAACTCTATGATCGAGATCCCTCGATAGTAAACAATCCAAACACCATAGCTATGATCCAAAGCAAGCAGCAGCAAATTCGCCACCCATCTATCCTCGATTAAAACCAAGCCCAAACACCCAAGCAAAAGCACGCTAAACAGCCACATTCATAGCCATATACATATCCTTCATCAACACCATCCCCCAAATTCCCAAAGAATCCCAATCACGAACTCCTAAAAAATCGCAATTAATAACCACCCAACACCGCGCAACCCCATCGCTCATCCCGAACCCATAAATAAAAGTGATGCAGAGCAGAGCAGGAAATTCATCCCCCAATCATACACCCCCTCATCGCTCCACTCATCACATCCTCCACCCTCTCCACACATCTCGTCCTCGTCCTCCTCCGTCCTCTCCCAGTTCCAGCTCCGGTTCCAGTTCCACCAATCCTTCCCCTTCGCCCTGCTTCGCCCAGTTCCTCGATCATGGCTTCGAGTGTTGCGAGATCGGTTTCGATGCTTTGTTGTGAGCGGGGGAGGGTTATTGAGCCTGAGTCTGAATTTGATCTTGAGGTGGGCGTTGGTGAGGGTGGTGGGGATGGGAGTTGGAGTGTCATGGTTATTGTGTTCGGTATAGTGTGGTTGTAGATGGAGATATGGTAGTGGATGTAGTTGCAGTATAGTATAGTATAGTATAGTTGTGGTAGAGGTGGATAGATAAGTAGTAGGTAGTAAAGAATGTCAGGTCAGTTAGAGTTGGTGGTTGACAGTGAGTGAGTGGCGAAATTGCGGGGGTAAACAGTATAAGTATCAATAAGTGTGGTATGTAGATCAAGGCTATTGGGTATATAAGTAGCCAAAAGTAGTGGCTGGGCGATTCTTATGTTTCATCTCTTTGCCTCATTTAACTATTGGTTAAGGCTCCAGAATGGGGCTGGATGAGTCAGATAGTTGTCACGCTGATTCTACAGTGACTTAATTAATGATTTTGTTGGTGTTGGTGGTCGCGGTTACCTAAACTAACTGGGTGGTTTTGACTTGTCTGCCTAATTTCTGGCTACCCGTGATAACTAAGTTGTTGGTAACATCTGACAAACTAAAACTGATCATTCTGCCCAACGGGAGATGCCCCCCCAACTACTCTGCACATAAATCATGCATGATCTGACAAACATTATCGATCAGCCATGCAAGGAACTCATCTGTTCAAAACTTCACCTGACTGAGTTCTGCCGCGTGACCCTCTTCCCAAGGATACTTGATCTCCAACTCCTTCAGCAGCGCCTCGTGCTGCTTACTCCTAGGCTTAATGCCCACCTCGAACGGTGCCACGTGACTGATCACCCCATTTAGGAATTTCGGCTCTACGTCCACTTCCTTGCCGTTCTTGATGGGCTTGGTGAAACTATATACGGCCAGCGACTGCGCAATGCTCAGGTAGACGTTGGAATCTGCGAGTGTGCGGCCGGGACAGATGCGACGGCCGAATCCGAAGGCGAGGAGATGGGGGTCGCGCTCGGGGGCGTGGTTCTCAGTTGCTAAGAATCGCTCGGGTTTAAAGGCCATTGGGTCAGGGTAAACATCTGGGTCGTGGGTGAAGGCCCTAAAAAGATATTAGACATAGACTTCGACATTGACTGGAAAGGGGCTAGGGTCACCATTGATTCGGCAAGATCTGGGAACCCTTTGGGATGAAGTAGCCTTCGTACATGTCATCCTCCGACGAGCTGTGTACAACCCCCATCGGGGTTACGGAATGCCAACGGAGGGCCTCTTTGACCATGGCGTCGATATATGGCAGGTTCTCGCGATCGCTGAAGCTGGGAAGACGGTCTGTCCCGACAACTCGGTCAATTTCTTCCTGTGCCTTTCGCTGTACGTCCGGGTAGAGAACCATCGCGAGGAAAAACCCGCCCAAGGTGGATATGGTCTGCTCATGATTAGATACGGTTTACGGACTTCAAGAGTGGTAGACTTGCCGTGTCGGATCCTCCACCGTACATTGCCGCGGCAGACCATTTCATGACGATTTCATCAAAGGATCCTGGCTCTGGAACCCCCTTTGCCTCGAGTAAACCGGATAGATAGGATGGCGCGTGCTTGTTTTGCGACATCTGATGCCGGACAAACTCGTAAGGTTGGCAGTTCCAGGCTCGGGCGCTTTCTCTGAAGTTCTCTGCAACGCGTTTGAAAGTGGCACCTGGAAACCAGGCCGGGATGTGCTTCACTAGTCATCCAGTCAGTCATATTCTCCATTAGGGTGAGCTACAGTGCATACAGAATGGAATAAAATCCACTAGCCACACCCCGGGAACAAGGGCCGCGCCGAGATTTCCCATCGCCCGGGCTATAAGATCCACCAGTGGGTCATCCCCATGTGGTACAACGCTGTATCCATATGCTACCTTCAGGATGATTGCCGCTGCTTGCCTTTATATAACCGTCAGCGCCGGTGCATTTCCAGGACCTAACATGGCAAGCATACTTCCGGATGTGGTCCTGCAGACCTTCGGGGTTATCACGCACCCGAAGCAGGGTACGACCAACTTCGGCTTCTTGGATATGATTGAACCGCGCAACAGAGTTGTTTGAACCAATCTGTTGATAGAATAGCTTCCGCTCAGTCCGGACACGCGGGTCGTTGTTGTTCCTCAGACTGAACAAATCCTTAAATCCGCACCTAGTCACCTATTAGCAGCGAAATAGCCGGTCCTGGGGGCTGTGGTTGCAAACATCTCGATAAATGTCAAGCTAGGTCGGTCTGAGTGTGTAGCTGAACGCTTCTCCAACAACTCAACCGCAATCTGGGCATCATTAACAATTATGAGGGTCTCTCCAAAGACCTGTACCGAGCTGATGGGGCCTACAGATATCGTTAGCTGTGAATAGGCACATATGTGTCAGTACTATACGCACCATAGGTCTTCTTGTGCTTGTACCAATGCAGCCAATCTGCTTCTCCATTGGCTGGTAGGTCGAGCAGGTTCCCGATGATCGGCTTTGGCTTCGGGCCCGGAGGGAGTGGGGCAGGAAACCTTTTGCGGGTCAAGAAGGACTTGAGAATGACAAGGCCAAGCAGGCCAACAATGGCTCTCACTAGCAGGGACATGATTCAGTGGTCCGCCGGTGTGCTGTTCTTGATGTGAACAGCAAAACTGGGTCCTTTGGACGGGGATGCCCTCATAAGTATAATGAGGAATGCAAGCACATCCTTGTCGCTGCACGATATATTGCATTTCATATGTTGCGGGGTCAAGAGGGGGTCGTGCATACACTTGTGCTCCTCATTTCAGCCGTATCAGCATCGGAGGTGATAGCAGACGCATAGCTGAGCGTCAACTAGCTGCACGGCTGCCGAAGACCCCATTTATGACAGGGTATACATTGGCTGAGATGGTCTGTCGTGATGAATAAATGCCATCCATGAAGGTCATGACTCGGTGATCGGCGTGGGGAGGGAGGTGA